GCCGATCAGGTTGAAACCTGATTGGCACGGATTGATTTCGGTTGCATCCTGCTCGCAGCCCAGGACCAGATAAAGGATATCCTGGGGGAGTATCAAGGGAGACGATGTAATCTCGGGTCAGATAGTGGCGAGAGCTCAGTAAGCAGGAGGAAACCATGATTCTTCTCCACCTTTTCACAAACATTCCTCCTTCACTCACCATCTTTAAGCGACGTAGACAGTTCCCTTGGTGCTGGGTAATTCTGACATTTCAGGGAACGAGCCGAAGAAACGGGTGCTGTTAAAACTCTGAACGAGCCAGCGGATCAATTAAGGCATCGATCAGCTTCAGCACACTGGGGCTTTAGAGCTCAGCTGGAACCAGAATCGGCTGAGACAGTCTTCCTCCGGGACCAGGGCTGGGAGTTCCTGATCTCGCAGTCTGGGTCCCGGTGCAAGAGTGATCAGGGTGACCGCACTCTTCAGTGAGTGTGAACCTCGGTTCCAGATCAGCTCCGGGACTCCAGCGAGAGTCTGGGTTACCTGAATAGGTAAGAGATCCTAAGGGGAAACCTGCCCCCACGTGGAGGAATGCAATGGGTTTAGCTAAGAGGTTAGACTATATCTTTGCATCCAGAGACTTGGGGATAGGGAGTGTGTTAACATCTCCCTTTTGGCACTCTGATCATGACATTTTGATGGTTGAGATTACTGGTACTGGTATTAAGTTTGGAAAAGGGTTACCTGAATACAAAGAGAAGTGAAGATGTCAATGCTCTGCAGTACACAGCCGGGATGATATTAGCAAGTGGAATATGAGGGAGAAGTTTGTTTTTTCGAACTCCTCCAGAAATAAAAGTCTCCAAACAGATGTGTGTGTTAATATGGACAAAGCCTTAAGTGGTCCCCTTTGCCAGTTAAAATAACTGAACTTTTTCAGCCCAGTTTATGACAGAGACCTCTTATTAGTAATGACAACCGAGACATGACAATAATAATTAATAATATCGTCATACCTCATACAGCGCTTATCTGGACCCTCCACTC